CATTGTAATGCGCCATATAATTGTATGCAGTGGTAATGCCTCGCTTACTGCCTCTGAGCTGGTGAAACATTGTTGTGGTTGTTTAAATTAGAAATTTTTACAATTTTTCGTTAAATTTGAAATTTATGGATTGCAATTGAAATGGCAGAAAAATACTTTGCACGACTTTGTATTATGATTAATTGTTAATGGTTTTATTGTCCATTTAAACGCTGGTTAATTGTTTGGGAATTTTCAGTTAAATATTAGTTTCCGTTTGGTTTCCACAATAAACTTCCTCGTTCTATGCAATATGCGAAGCACACGCGATGCAATTTAACAGACATTTCGGTTATGATAATTTTCGGTTTGTTTTTTTCAAACATAAAATAAATACATTGTCGATTGGTTTTCGGAAATGCATGTCATACTCAATGCAGTCAGCGTATAATTTTGCAAAAACAAAACATACAAATTGTTTGGTAAAAATGGATAGTTCTCACATTGGTAATATGAAAGTCATGTCATGCCACCGGCTTCCACCCAAAACAAATCCATCGATCATATCGGGAAATTTGGAAAAAAAATTAACAGTTCTGGTCTCGTATCACAACCGTGAGACCGATCACATATTTTATGAATATGCGAAGGCATATGAACTATAGAATGTTATTCTTTTGACGAATGATGTTTCCATGTGTCATTCAAATGGAATTGCACAAACACACACACATCGAAATAGAAATCTCATTGCTACTGAACGCTGACTGTAAACAAAAACAAAAACTAATTAAAATAGCATTTTTTTCGTATCAAAAGTCGATTGAGCGAGAGAGAAAAAATCGCATACACATCTCACAATGAACTTATAGCGTACTTTGATTAAATACACAAGTTGAAATATATGTATATACGAAAACTTTCATCGGTAGATTACCTTGACTTTTTTCTCATCGTATGTTGCTGTTTTTTGCGATTTGTATTTTCCTTGTGTGATCGGCAAACAAACAAAAGTCAGCCATTCAATTCGATATTTCGAACGGTGTGTTTATCTCTGATTGAATTTCTGTTGATCAACAAGCGAACTAACTGCATTCAATAGCAAATGGCAAAGCCATCGTATGTGGAAGCCGATGTAATTGCCCATGAAATCAGGTAGTTCGTGATGTTCTCTGTTGAAATAAATGCCGTATCATCGTTTTTCGTCTTCTTCTTCTTCTTGCTCGGCACAATAATAAAGTCGTCGTCACCGAAATTCAGTCTCGATATTTTGTAATCACATATTGACATGATACGATGGTTTTAACCGAATAACGGTGTTTATTGTTCAAGCAACATTTGACCTATGGTAAATGGCGCTCGCGCAAAACAACAGTAAATGAATGTGACGTAAATTGTATCAATCAATCGATTTGAATAACTTCCACGAGGCGTTTATATTTCGCCAAGAAAAAAAAAAACTTGGATGGCACGTAATCGCGTTGGATTATGAAATTTTGCGGTTTTTTTTTTAATTGGAGCATACATATTAATTCATTGGATATGGATTTTGGTTAGCAAGAATGTTCGCGATGTAAATTTAAAAGGCGGTGGAAATAAATTTCGAGCCAATAAAGGCTTCAAAACCGAAACACAACAAATTGGATACGGTGACTAACGGCATATATGTTTCGTGCAATTGTGTTGACGGTCATTTCGTACATTTTCAGTGATAGATTCCAAATTTGATTTCACATCCATAAAACATCCACAAATTATGAATATAAATCACGCATTTGATTTCTATTAACCTTGAATTTCAATAAACAAGCAATTATGATGCGGCCAAATATTTTCTTTCATTGGCCATCGATTTTTTGTGTGATCTTTTTTCATTCAGAGTAATCTCTAAATTGATAAAGCCTACGCCGAATTCTTTTTTCAAGTTCGTTATTCAATGGTCGCGACATGTGATCAATATAATTTCTAACGATAGCGGCCGTCCTTCTTGGAATAGAGCATGCCGTCTGCATATGCTGGAGCACGTAATTGGTTATTACGGTAATAGTTTGGCCTACTGTGCATACGTATAACGGTTGAATGACATGCCAATTAGCTATGGCCTGACGTCATCAGACGCCGAATGACGGAACCATTGCCCGATGACAGCTTGCACCATACATGCGTGATGCACTTATTATAATTACATTTTGATATGCTCCCATTGCGTCAATGCGTAAACATTGAAAATCTTATCGTGCGAACGTTCGCATAGTTCAACTAACTGCTCCACTTGATTGTTATTATGAATGTTTTATTTTTTAAATAAATTTTTATGATGTACTGTGATTTTATAACTTCTATCAAAATCCAATCAAAAGAATGCTGCCAATTTTTCGTCTGCCATTCACGCTCATGTTACGAAATCGACTTCTAGAAGGTACTGAGGAAATTCGCAAAGGCAACAAGTAAAAAATTATAGTAGCGATGGAAAATACAAATCAATCCAAATAGTAGTAATAATACAACGGAACGCAGTCAATGCGAGAACCGGTGCTCAAAGAAGCGTTCACTTTTTTTTTCTTCATTCATGTCAGTCAGTGTATGCGCCACAATATATTTGTGCATGCTCGCAAGCAATCGCTCTGCTCTCTCGCACTTCTGTGAATGGATTGCAGTGCAAATTGTATTTTGCTGCTACACAGCCAGCGATTATGGTGATTTGCTTCGCTGGATACTCACTCATATGCAATTAGAATTAGGTAACTGTGAAGCTGAACAATTAATTTTTTCCATTCCGATCCGTCGCATGCACTTCAAGACCCAGCCAACAGAGAAGAAATTCCATCGTCTTTGTGTCACTGATTCGTTTGGTTTCGTTGCTGTTTCTCTTCGTTTGTGTTAAATGTGTTATTGTTCTAGTAACAAATATGTTGTTGCCACTGATTACGTTGGCCGCATTGTTCTTTTTTTGTTCGTAGTTGCTAAGATCTGTATTTATGGCGATGATATTTTGCCTCGACTTTTGATTGAATGCAAAAGGCGACCAAAGCGACATCAAGTTTATACATAAGCATGTGCGTGCGCGCGCGCATTTTTAATGACTTTCCGGGCGCAACCCACAAAAATTGCAACGAATTATATAAGTTTTCACCTGGCCAAAACGCTCACACATATAATCATTTTGGATTTCCGCACACACCAATTAACTTATTATATTCATTTGACCTTCTTCTTTATGGCTTAGATTACGGTGATTGTATCATCCATTCAACTTTGTACAAATCGCAAAAAAAAAACCAACAAAACAAGCAACGCTTAAAATTTGCTGAAATGACAACAATTAGCCGGGTTTTGTTAGCTCTGGAAATTGTTTTCATTTTACTAAATACACACATGATTCTGTCAAACTATTTCATAGACTGTTCACATAATGCTGCTATTGTCATGGGAATCTCTTACCGCAACATCTCATACCGTTCTGAGAAGACTTTTAACTAACCACCATTTAAGTCAATTATGTGATAAGAATTAATTAAAAATTACAAGTCCATATTGCGTCATTTCAAATGTTGCCATCGAAGCTTTGAACAATATATCGTCTTTGAACAATACATCGAAGCTTATTTCCGGATTTTATTGTACAATTTTAAAGAACAAACCAACGAAAATAACGCGAAGCTTATTCAAAAGCATTTGTTTTTAAGCACAAACGTCATTAAGTTAAGCTAATTATCGAATTTATTTTTGAATAGATTTAATTACAGATTTGGCAGCGTGTTTCCTTTTTATGTTAAATGTTAAATTGATTATCTTTTTTATTCTATTTTTATTTCATTGAATTTTTGAATGCGAATTCAATCCATTCAAATTCTCGTCTTTCGTAGATCGAAGAAGGTAAAATAAAAGATAATGTAATTCGTTGTTGTTCTGGATCGCGCCAAAGATATGAGGTGCCCTCGAAATTGAATATATATATTCATGATTGATTAATGCGGCAATTCATTCGACATGCGAAATTCACACACAATGAATATGATAAGGTGTTTTTTCCCCTCTGTTAACAAGGTCAAAGTGCAAAAAATAATTTTCCATCTTGATAAATTTATATATATATTCATTTTATATGTCTAAAATAAGATCCAACAATCTTGTGATCTTCATAAATAGCGTTAACATTCACGTGCTGCTTGTCACAGTGAATATAAAAAATCGTCGCAAAAGAGAAATGAATGATTCATGAGGCTGAGAATGTTTCGAATCTGAAAAGTCATGGATGCGCAGCAATTAGTCGTGCTATGATCTTCTTCGCCACATTTTTTTAGATGAATTCCACTTTTTTTTCTCAATGGATTGCCTTGTAATACTTGCAATATATCGCGCTGTGCAGTGCACAGTGAGCGATTTATTGTAAGTAAATAGTGTCAACGACGCAAGTGATAATTAGCTTGTATTCGACAATGAAAAACATAAAGAAGCGACGAACCGCCCCCGATTTGTAGGCGAAAATTCACAATTGCCATTATATTTGTGTGTAGAGAGTTGACGATGTTTCAAGTGATATTGAGTCAATCCGTGTGCGGAGTTTGTTTTGTTGTCGTGCTTTCTAAGTTGGTGCAAAATAGTATACATGCTTAACGATTCGTTTCACATACTTCACTTGTATTGCTTTGCATGCACAACATTCACAATTCGCTAAAATAGTACGCACTTTAAAATTCAATTCTCTCATATGAATGATGGGCTCAACAAAATATCATTATAAATTCACAACTGTTTTCTATGCAAATATGCAAAAAATAAATAATAAAATATAAATCCAAGTGGACGATGAGTTTTTATTGCAACAGCTATATTATTTGTAATCAATGTACAATGTTAAGTGTGAAACAAAAACAAGAAATATTTCCAGATTTTAGCCTCAGCCATCTTACATTGTTTTCTATCAACAAGTTTCTATGAATTCAACTACTATAAGAGTGCAACCAAATTCCATGTATGGGAATGCAATTCTAGATGTATTCCGAGGTTAAACAGCTTACCTGATTCAGCTAAATATTTGAAGATGACAATCAATCAAATTGGGTGTGATTGATTACAATTGTGACAAACGACATTTGCGGCAAGTGAGAGATACAGAAAAAAAACCTTTCTCGGCATCAAACAAGTTGTGAATTGGATATGATTGTCAAGTGTCGATGTAAACTTTCAAAATTAGCTCATAATAGTTCCACTTCAACTGGTTTTTCGGGATATTTCTCTCATTTTAATAAAATGCCAACAGAGTGAGAAAAAAAAA